ATGTTTAGGGTTAAGTGTTTAATTAGGGTTTAGCGTCTAGGGTTTAGCGTTTAGAAAATAATTTTCTATATGTTGGGGGAACCAAAGGGTGGGTGTGTAGTTTTCGAAGGATTTCTTTTCCTTAGAATTTCACTCGCAATGAGATGCTGAACCCTAAACCCTAAACCCTAAACCCTAAACCCTAACTAGCAACATAGAGGTCATGATCTAAGCTGTCAATAAATGCAGGCAGGTACTTCAGTTTCAGGGCTTCACCTGACGCCGATGGCCTTCACGGTTGCGGTCTTCTTGAGAAAGGCCGGCAGGGTTCAGCATTTCATGAGGACAGTCTTTTTTGCACTTCCTTTGCGTGCCTGAAGCCCAAATCTAAAGTCCTGGCCACTTTGAGCCTTTGGCTCCATTCATCATGCTTCAGCGCTTCAAACTCAACCTGAGCCAGCTCAATTTCAGACCACAGTCCTTTAGGGGCTTCAGGAGCCTTAATGGGAGCCCTTATAGCTGGCATTCTGGGTATGTAGGAATATCCGGGACATGCAGATGCAACAAGGGCTTCATAAAGGTTAGATATGGAACTGAGAGTAGGGGTCAAGATCTGGATCCCACAGACAAGCGTGACGACTGCCTTCAAGCCTGGCCAAGGACACTTAACCTGAATCCCTTAACCCGACATTCCAGATCCTACATGCCGTCGTGTAGATTGATACCCCAGATAACCCCCCCCCTTAAGGGATTCTGTACCCCGAAGACTCTGGACCCAAAAGCCCCCAAACCCCTTGCTCTAGCGGTGAGAGGATTCTTGGTGACCCAACCTTTGACAGCCAGACAATATCTATAGAGTCTTAGTTTTGGGGGGTGGGTGTTACCAAAATAGTCCCTGAGAAAAAGTACACAATCCTTGTCTCATTTCAGGGGCTGAATAGAGGCAGATTGTAAGGTACACTGGACGGAGGACGCAAGCCTAGATTGCAGGCTATAAGCAACATACGCTGAAAAGTGTGAAAGCTCGCAGATAAAGAGTGGCAATCATTGATTCAGGGCATCCAGACAAGATGTCATCCACAAGCAGCGTCAAATTCACAATCGAAGGTTCAAGGTCTAAGGATAAAGCTTGGCTCAACTTGTAGATGGTCGTGTTGGGTCTAGGCGGGTGCTGCAGTTTAGCTCATGTATTCCGAGATGTAGCCTGCAGGCATTTCCGAACAGACCTGTTCATGCTTGGTTGGCTATGCGGGAGTGGATCACGCGAGATATTAAGATATTGCTGTAAAGTTCCAGTGCCGCCTTCCCGACTAAGCATGAGTAGGCAGGAGAAGGCCAACCTCAGGACTTCGAAGTCTGCACCGTCCTTTACAACACAGAATACATGCATATTCTTTGTCTTGGAAGGCGTCTTCAGCATATTGAAAACGTTAGCATCACGTGTTCTACAAATACTGTATTGTTCCTGGCACCTTGTTAGAAAAAGAAGGCGAGCAGCGAGCAGACTATTCAAGGCTGGTCTCGGGAACACCTTCATTACTCCTAGGTTCAGGGTTGGGAGGTCAGGGTTTGGGGCCTGGGGTCTGTATAGCAGCGGGGAAATGTCAGGGACCGTCGCTGAGATTTTCTAAGGAACAACTTGCAGCAATTCAATACCCCAGGCCCCTTTGGGCACGAATAAGGCAATGACAAGCCAAGGTGTAGAATCAGGGACATTTGAGAACGCGTCTGAAGCGTCTGGCTGTGAGACTACGGCATCTGCTTCCCGATGCGCACGTCTTACCCTACGGCATACCCTAATCGTTGCTGAAAGGAATGGTAGTACCCCAAGAGATCAGCTGGCATCGATGGTACGTACTTTCGGACCTCTTCCTCGCACTCTGGGTCGTTCTCCTGATCTGTTCGCAGATAGCGGTGTGCATCTGCCACCTGGGTTGCCTTGAGGACTTTGCGGCGCTCTTCTGGCGTAATGAGGCCAGTGAATAGGAAGTCGATCATCCGCTCCATCTGTTGGTCGAAGCCTTCAGAGGAGTTGGTGACGGTCTCGTAGTCCAATCGGAAGATGTCATTGGATGGCTGTTCAAACGCCTGTCCATTCTTGGATTGCTGTAGGAAAATGTCGACACGCTTGGGCTCAACAACATACCAAGAGTGCCTACGACAAAAGAAGTGCAAACATAACCAACTAGAGCCAAGAGCACGGCCGTCATGTTCTCAACAAGAGGGAGCATCCGCTCCGCAACAACAACCAGCCCTTCTCTTGGGCCCAGCATCAACAAACGAGCTGTCGGGGCAAACAAACGATTGGTCATCTCGCGACCATGGTGATGGTAGCAATACGCAGAAACCTTGTTGCTGACTTCCATGGTCGAAAACAACAACTTCATGTAGAAATCGGAACATGCAAGCCAGAACTTATCCAGCGTCTGGCTCAGCTGCTAAGAAAGCTGTCCAGCCACGTCTAGCTCAAAGCTCCCATAGCATAGGGCTTACAGAATACTTGTTGCAAGTTGCATAGCATATAAGGTCCTTTCACCGATCCCTACAGCTTCTCATTTAAAACCCAAGTAATCCCTGTTGTCATTATTGTCGAGGGGGGGCGATCATGGACACCGGATCTCGAACGGATCCCACCACTCGCAGCCCTTTGGAACCAACGGCCTGTCGAGCCTTCTGAGCCCTTTCCCGGGAGAACCTTAGGGCAAGGCATGCAGGCTGCAAAACAATTTCATAACTTGGAATGACGGGTTGTAGGGAGCCAGCGCCCAACACTCGATTGGACGGCTACTTGCTCGCTCTGGTCGAATTTAATGTAAACCCTACTTTTTGTTGAAAATTGTTCTGAAGCCATACCCTAAATCAAGAAGTTGCAGCTGGCAAGTAGGATTCCATCTGATTACCCATGGTGTTGTCTCTATTATACCACCAGCGTAGGAGACTGCTGTGAAGCCACGGCGCATATCAAGCCAAAACTGAATTGGCGCTTCTGGCGAATGACAAGATTGGCTCGAATAACAGGGTTGTTGCCACGCACCTATGTCGCTGGTCCCCGCCCCGAGGGTCTGGAAAACTTGCGTCCATACAGGTGCAAGAAAGAAGCCTGCTTTGTGGTGCACCACACCGAGGTAGTTGTGCACATCCCACGGCTTTGATGGCAGGTATTGAATGACCGTAGCGGGTGGGGCAAATCGTGGAAACGCCTTCCTCTGCACAAAGTTCATAGCGTGCGACTCCTTGGTTGTCCAAACCGCCTAAAAAAACTGACTTTGCAGGCCTGTTGAACCCATAAGGCCTCAGCTGGACTAAACTGCCAAGCCTCAAAACTAACATCGGCGGCAGCATCCAAGTGGAACAGGCAGCACCACGACAGTGCCCACTGCAGTGCCATGGCGGTACACCCGCACGTATGCATGTGCGTGGGTCAGGCCAGACGAATTGTCTGAGCTTGAGGGAGAAACATGCATCCAGTCAGAAGCCAGTGAAAAGCCTCCCATGAGCAAGGTATCTTACATTTCCCCCCAGAACTCATCAACCCTTCATCTGTGTCAAAAAGCCCTGACCTCAACCACCCACTGTAGTCTAAGTATGCTCGCTGATGCAAATTTTGCCAGGTCGCGTGTGCTATCTTCACAGCCATCACGTTCTCACTGCCCGTACTCTTCTTGGAAACCACCTTCCTGTCACTTTCCTTATGGCATGCATGTGTCAAGAATGCCGAATGATCCAAAGGCGGCGTCTGAAAAGAAGCCAGGCAGCAACACTGCAGCAGGATCCGCGCGATATTGCTCCGAGAACGAAGGTTGAGATCACAAGTAGAATCGCTGCGCAAGCTACAACGTCTTTGTCGTTGCTAGGTAACTTGGGCCCTAAAAAGCGTAGGCTCTTTCATTACAGGGCTCCTATTGAACATGTTGGAGCCCAGACTTTGCATTGAACCTACTCTGCCAGATTGTATGCTGAAACTGCTACTGGCTGCTGACTAGCGCAGTAGGTGGCGCTCTCATTGTCGATCATTCCTGCTAGTGACCGCTATTCCACTGTGTGGTTGAGATGGAAGCTTACCCAGAGCGTGATTTCAGCAGCCTGCGAAAGTCACCGCGCAAGGAGGCACACTGCAAAGAGGCTCCCATGCTCCAAAAGGCGCTGCAGGGCAAGTTCCTTGCGGGCATTTTGCCATCAACCAACATGATGCGCTCATCTGCACGCCCTCATCAAAATAAACCAACCGTGCTGAAGCCTGTGCAGACCCCTTGCATGAGGGAGGGAAGCAAACAGAGTTCTATGTTCTATCAGGCGGCAGGGTGCAGACGTGAAACTTGAATGCTTTCGAGTGGGTTGCTGTCTCTGCATAGGGTGACAGTACGATGTGAGCATGTGGATCTAAGTAGGATGTATAGGGTTCGGAGAATGGGTCCATTCAGATTGGAGTCCATGGACGCGTGACAGCAACCCGCGTCTGAGCCGCTTTCAGCCTGTTTGGCAATTGGATGTCAGCAAAAGGGTTTTCAGTTTAACACTCATTTTTTAAAGGCATATCTAGGCTCTTGATGGCACTCTTGACGAAACATTCCTTGCGGATTCGGAAAACTGAGCTTCGGACCTAAGCCTTGAGTCTACAACCAGAAAAGAATAGAATGGAACATGTCTAGGTTCAAAAGAATCTAAATCTAACTACCGGCATGTTTCTACGCATGTATGCATAACTACCGGAATGTTTCTACGCATGTATGCTTATATATCTAAATACATATATATATATATATCTATCTCTCTCTCTCTCTCACTCTCAAACAACATCGTTACGGTTCCCCTGTCAGCATACACACAGACCGCGGGAACTTTCCAAGGTCTCGAACTTGACCTCGCAGTAGATCTTTTTTTAATTTTGGGTCAAAGTATTTTGTGGTGTAATGCGAAAATCCACGTGGAAGGGCCACTGTCGTGCAATCACACCGACTGCCAAGCAGGCAGAGCTGGGCCAAAGTTTGCGTGAAACATTCTGCTTAGGATCTCAAGGTTAGGTTCTTGGAATTTTCATTAGAGAAACTCCAACTTCAGAAAGTTTGTTGCCGACCAGCCAAGGTACGATTACTTCCCTTATTACGTTTGAATCTTGACTGATACTAGAAGAGATGCATCTTGCTGCCCGCCGAGCTGATGCGAGACCTCATCGCAAAGGCCCTTTTTGTAATGAGAGCAAGGTCTTCTTGGATGCCGTGGGGGTTCTATATGGTGCGGGAAAAAATACTATGTCTGCCAGAACTCTCCGCAACTACTTCAAAGTTGGGTTGGAGACTTAGGCCTGTCATCTGGTGGGAAATTTCAGGCAATAAGCTCAAAGATCTTAGGCTGTCACCACAACCCTGAAACTATAAATTTGTTCAACCCTCACATGGTCAGCCCATGTTGCGTCCATGCGCGCTGCTCACTGCTATCGCCTCAGCAGCACGAAGCCACGAGCCCAAGCAGGGCCATATGCAAGCAGCACAACGGACTCTAGCCAGATTTCTTTTTTTCCCCACGTTCCTTGTGGGGTTATAATTTTTGAGGCTGTCGCCCGCACCCTGACCGCGTGCTCTTCGGTCGCGAAAACGTTTTGGACGCGCTCATGTCGTTTCAAAAATCGCGCTCTCGCTCGAGACATCCTTGAATAAATCGATGTTTTTCATCGATCATCGATCAAAAAAATCCAAGCCATCGCCTTTAAAGTGCTCTTGCTAAGGGGGTCAAATACCGAACTGGTCGCGCTCCTGATTTTGAAAACCGCGCTCTCGCTCGAGACATCCTCAAAATTTCGTGTTTTTCGGAATTTATAAAATCATGCAAAATTGCGCTCCCGCGCGAGACAATTCGATTTTTTATGATTTTTTGAACGCTTGGATGACGTTCGTGTTTTCAAAAATCGCGCTCTCGCTCGAGACATCCTTGAACAAATCGATGTTTTTCATCGAGGTGTTTTTTTTTCCAAGGTTTGGC